GAAAAATATTTACCCACATACCTCATATATCATTACCCACCTAGTCGAGACTGCTGAAGACTGGTCAGTGTCTGAGGATGAAGATGAGTCAGATGATGATGACGATGATGAAGAGGAGGATGATGTTGAAGAGGATGAGGAGGAGCCACTCGTTGAACTCGCTGATTCTGAACTGGTGCTGCGAATCTGTTGACCAGTGAAAAATATTAGTCTACACTATAAAACATTGAAAACCAATATGATATACTGTAATTACTCTGCATGTTATTTTGGGGGGCAATACTACGGCGATTAACTGATCATTGGATATATGTGCTGAGTAATTAGTATATAAGGGTCTGGGCAACCTCTAAAATTACAGGTACTGTACTATATCATTATAATGCAATATAAAGCCAATAATATTTTTGATTATGTTCCAATATGTACAGTACAAAACTCTCAGTTAAAACAGGTAGCTAAGGTTAGTAAGAATAAAAAAAATGCATGTGCAAATGGTACAGTATTGTGGAGACTAATCATGAAGAATATCAATTAAAATAGAAAGAGAATCCCTGGTTGCTATTATGATTTTCTCTTGTTTTTCTTGCACCATTCATTATCTTGTTCACCTGAGCATGAATGCATGTATGGATATATCCATGCATGTGAATTATTTATTTTATTTTTGTGTGTGTGTAATAATAATAATAACAATAATAATAATAATAATAATAATAATAATAATAATAATAATAATATTAATTCACGGTTTATTGAAAAAGTTCTGCAGCGCAAAGGCTGAAAATATACATTAGAAAAAAATGACTTAATGGCAAACTGTACAAAGACATGGGGTAGGTGGGTTGTTTAACAAAAGCTGTCATTACTAAAAAGAGCAGGAAAATGAATTGAACATGCAAATTATTATAGTTTGCAGTTGATGGCCCGAGCTGGTCTCTTGCCATACCGTGTGAGGTCACGTAGGCCTTGTGATGCAGTAACTCGTCAGTAGGTGATGACATGAAGGACCTCACATGGTCATGGAGACATCGGGTGGTGTGGTGTTCATGTGGTCCAGTAACTCATCCTCGGGTGTTGATATGAAGACCTCACATAGTCATGGAGACATCGGGTGGTGTGGTGTTCACATGGTGCAGTAACTCGTCCATAGGTGTTGACATGAGGACCTCACATAGTCATGGAGACATTGGGTGGTGTGGTGTTCATGTGATGCAGTAACTCGTCCATAGGTGTTGATATGAGGACCTCACATAGTCATGGAGACATCAGGTGGTGTGATGTTCACATGGTGCAGTAACTCATCCATAGGTGTTGATATGAGGACCTCATGTAGTTATGGAGACATCGGATGGTGTGGTGTTTACGTGGTGCAGTAACTCGTCCTCGGGCGTTGATATGAAGGACCTCACGTGGTCATGGAGACACCGTGTGGTGTCACAGTACCTCACTCTCTGCTAGGTGGTGCTGTGTTATCTCGTAGTCAGGTGTAAAGCCGACCTACTTTTGTTCTCATGGTTAACTGATTAACACCACCTGGTCAGAAGATGGCGGTAGGTTCCCAGGGGTACTTATCTCACTGGTGGGTCACTGCTCTCGTTGGTACTGTCTAGTGCCGAGTTCACTGGCTTAAACACTGCTCATCACAGATCCCACTTCTTTCCGAAACGAAATTGTCACTTTTGATTATGTAGATATCCCGATGGAGAGGATGGGTCAGGGAGAGGGAACTTGTGGAATGGGCCGAACATCGGCTAAGGGGGGCAGCTGCGCAGCAGCAGCGCCTGATAGGTCTTGACCCTCCTGTGGTCAAGGATGTAGTCTGTTTGTGTGTGATTCCAACAGAAGTTGGAATTGCTGGCATCATAAATATTATCTTTGAAATTAAGAATAAATTACAGTACTTTAATGTCATATCTTATGGTCCTTTATATATGTATACTGTACCACATACGGATGAATTTCTGAAAGCCTCACGCTTTCTAGTTGGAGTCTGTAAAATGCTACTACAGTACGACCATATACAGAGTTGGCATTGGTTATCCCCATTGGAGGATCCCGTTGCTTAAGAATAAGATGAAGGAACAGGCTTTGTGTGAAATACTGTACAACAGAGCTTAGAATAACTTTTATTGCTCCTCCATTGGATAAATACGGTCAGCTTTATTTATAATTAAGTTTTATCCCATGTTAGGAAAGGTTAGGTCAGGTTGCTAAATGTTTGACTAGTGTTTACCCACAATTTCACTGATACAACAATCATCATTGCTTGTGAGTCGTATCTCCATAAATATTCACTTTTGCCAAAAATAAAGTTCATATTCTTTTAATTCACCATCAAAAACCTAGGAAAAACCTATGCTTGTGACTTTCGAATACTGTATGTAGCTACTCTATGGTCTCTACTAAATCGTTCCCAAATTTCTAATGCTCCTGCTGCTGCTGTTGTTTGTTATTAGTGAGAATGAAACAGAATACATTAAGTCCACGCTTAACGTTCTTTCTGTACTACATCACTAAACTTTAGACCAAAAATTCATTTAACGTCCCGGTGATCTAATACTGTACTTCATCGTTTTGCGGTGTCACAGACTACATTTTACGGTGCACTGCCCTCTCTCGTCTGGCTGCGCTATGCTCTCCCAGCTTGGCGCAGAGTCTCAGTGACTCAGAACCCTCCTCCTCTCCCTCCCGCCATCCACCTCCTCTGCTTCACTACCCACCACCCACTTGCTCTACCACCTCCGTCCATCGGTGAGTACCAATACAAACTTAGTAGTTGCATATGTATGCATTATTTTCTATAGAAATGGCAATGATTTTCTGTATATGTAATGTATTTCATGGGGCAAAGGGAGGCTCAGGAACGTAACTCTTGCATTTTATCTATTTCTCATGGGGAAAATTGATCCGCTTAACGTTGTTTCGTATAACATCGCATTTTTAGGAACGTAACCCCGACATTAGGTAAGGACTTACTGTACCATTATCATTAATGTCTGCACAACCTTCGGACAACATAAATGCATCCTGATGCTCATGTAAACAAAGATGGCGACAGCATGTGCCAATGGTTATTTTATTTCTTTACGAAGAGTAAACTAGGAATCAAGTCCTGAATAGGGAAAGTGTTATTCCTCCATCCAATTTGCTCTATTCTTGAGGTAAGTTTGCAACTACTGTATAGCTATTTTTCCTTAGGTGGCTGGTTAACCCAGGAAATTATGCTTATTTATTGCTTCTTAAGTAAATCCAAAGTACAGTGGTCCCTCGGTTAATGAACGCCTTGGTTAACGAATTACCTTCCATAAGAATATTAAATTCGGTTAACTAAATTTTTACGAAAATGTTTCGTAATGCTTTGGCTTGCTCATCAGCTGGAAGATTAGTCCGCCAATACAGAAATCGGTTCTAGGGCTTAAATTTCGGGAAGGTGTGCAGGTCAGCAAAATCATCATCAACATATGCTGCTCTTCAATATCCCACTCTAGCAGGAATGACTGCTGTATGTTCAGAAAGTCTCTTGAAAGCTACTGTCATGATCAAAGTAAACGGGAGACAAGTCATAGCTCTTATGGATACAGGCTGTTCTGAGAGTTTTGTGTGTCAGTCTCTCGTTAGTAAGCACCACCTATATATGAGCACCCAGGCTCTACCAGGCTTCTACTTCACTGAGCACTAAGATATCTGGTTACTGTCAAGTATATGTAGAACTGGAGGGCCATATATATCATAATGTAAGACTATCTGTATTGCCTGACCTATGTTGTTATGTCATCTTGGGCCAGGATTTTATGAAACAACACAAAGTGTATGTGTGAGGTTTGATGGACAAAACTCCTTTAAATGTGTGTGGACTAGCAACTTTTTCAGTTTCTCCTCCATTTTTTGGAAGTCTCACTAAAGACTGTAAACCTACTGCAACTAAATCAAGAAAATACAGTGCTCCAGATATGAAGTTCATTGAGTCAGAAATAAAGAGGCTTCTCACAGAAAGCATTATTGAGCTCACCATTTCACCATGGCGAGCTCAAGCTGTAGTCACTACTAATGAGCGACACAAGAAATGTATGGTGGCGGACTACTCGCAGACCATAAACTGTTACACACTATTGGATGCCTACCCACTGTCTAAGATTGATGAACTGGTGAACACTGTAGCTCAGTACAAATTCTTTAGCACAATTGACCTGAAATCTGCGTACCACCAAGTTCCCATACGAGATGAAGGCAAACCATACACCACTTTTGACGCTACCAGTTTCGTCGAATTCCATTCGGCGTCACCAATGGAGTGGTTTGTTTTCAGCGTATAATAGATCAATTTACCGCCAACAACGCACTCTTTGATACTTTTGCCTACTTGGATAATATCACTCTCTGTGGAAAGAGTAAGGAGAAGCATAACTCCAATCTCAGGAGATTTATCGAGGCTGTTGAAGGATTCAATTTAACATTCAACCCAGACAAATGTTCGTTCTCTGTGACCTCTGTGAACCTTCTCGGTTACACTATCTCAGAGGGCAAAATCAAGCCAGTTTCAGAAAGACGCAAGCCACTGCGAGAACTTCCTCTTCCCCAGGATACAAATTCGCTATACCGTGCTGCTGGTATGTTCTCTCACAGTGGATTGAAAATTACTCGGAAAAGATTGCTCCTCTCACTCAAGCTAAGAGATTTCCACTTTTGGAGACAGCTGCTAAGGCTATTGAATGCTTGAAAAGTGAAATAGAAAATGAAGTAGCATATTCCATTGATGAAACAATTCCATTTGTCATAGAGACTGATGCCTCAGATATTGCAATTGCTGCCACCTTTTAAATCAAGCAGGTAGACCAGTGGCCTTCTTTTCTAGGACATTGACTGCAAGTGAATGCAAACACTCTGCTGTAGAAAAGGAGGCATATGTCATTGTTGAAGCACTGTGCAAATGGCAACACAATCTAACTGGATGTCACTTCACCCTTACCAATGACCAAAAATCAGTGACAATCATGCCTAATGCTAAACAGTCTGGCAAGATCAAGAATGATAAAATTCAGAGGTGGAGGATCGAGCTTGCCTGATACAGTTTTGACATCCTGTACAGTACCATCCTGGCAAAGATAATGTTCCGGCTGATACTTTTTCCAGGGCGTACTGTTCTGCCATCAGTTCCAATATGTTGGTCAAGTTACATAATTCTCTTTGCCACCCTGGAATCACAGGAATGGTTCACTTTGTTAGAACGCGAAACCTCCCTTTCTCAGTACACGATATGAGGAAAGTTACTTCATGCTCCATTTGTGCTGAGTGTAAGGGGAGGTTCTATCAGCCAGAAATGTCTCATTTGGTCAAAGCTACACATCCATTTGAAAGGTTCAATATCGACTTCAAAGGACTACTGCCATCATCGTCTTCTAATCGATATTTGCTGACAGTGATTTCCCTTATACAGTACTCATATGAAGGACCAGACTGTAATCAAATGCCTCTGCTAGCTGTTAGTTATCTTTGGCATGCCTGCTTTTATAAACTCAGACAGAGGCACTTCCTTCATGTCCTCAGAAGTTCATGACTTTTTTACATAGCCGTGGGATTTCTACCAGCCGAACCACTCCCTACAATCCTCAAAAAAATGGCCAGTGTGAACGCTACAATAAAGTAATTTGGAAGGCTGTGACTCTTGCACTCAAAACTTAACACTTACCCATCACCCACTGGGAACGCATCCTACAAGATGCACTGCATTCAGTACGTACATTACTGTCAACTGCAACAAACGCCACACCACACAAACTTTATTCAACTTCCAGCATCGGTCAACTAGTGGATGATACATTCCAACTTGGCTTTCTTCACCAGGACCTGTTCTTGTAAGGCGTCACGTCAAACAGTCTAAGTACGATCCTGCTGCCAATGAGGCATAGCTTCTTGAAGCAAACCCTAAGTATGCTCACGTGTGCTTTGCTGATGGCAAGGAAACAACTGTATTAGTTCAAGATCTAGCGCCGAGAGGGGACTTGCCAGGTGTGTCTGCGGACACTAATGACCATGCTCTGCAGGTTCCTAACAGCTCTGAGGCACCACCTTAGCTAGATCGACAAGAGTGCCGAACTTGGTCCAGCAACTCAGAACACAAGACCTGGATCTGCTGACTTGCCTGTAGTAGAACCACAGTTACCACATCAGCCTGTTGCTTATTCTCCATGGAGTAGGATGCCTCTACGCAGGTCTGAGCGTCTTAAGAAACCACCTAAACATCTGAACCTCTAATTGCTGTGTATGGCTTAGCTAGGCAGTTGCAACATTGCATTTATGTATTTTCATTCATTGGTATTATATATTTTTCTTTTATTTGCTCAGTTGATCTTAGTTAGCGGAGCATATTGTGATGATTTTCTTAATGGGTTACATGTATCATTTTAATGTTAATTTCATTTTAGTGATGTTTCCTGTAACTGATAAGTTATTGAGTTTGATGGGTTATGTATACAGGTATATGTATATAAATATACATTTTCTTTGTTGTAGGTGATCATGGTTTTTCTTGAATAAAGCCTCATCTTTTGGAACTTGGCCTTTACGACATTATATTTTAGCGGGAGATTCTGTTTCCATCTGACTCACACGACTATGTCTGCCAATCACCGTAAGTCTTCTTGTCACAGTGGCGTACCCAGATATTTGTCAAGGGAGACGAACTTTGAACTAAACATACCAAGGTACTGTTGAAATAAGAGATGATTAATATTTTTCTGTACATTCATGATGAGCTTATCATTCAATTAAAGATGATTAACCAGCCACTGCTAGTTAGTGATGCTATTATTTTTAGTTATTTCAATATTGTAATAATTTTTTCTTTTCATTTTGTTAAAAATGGTTTATTTGGAATAATTTATTAGCTCAAGGGGGGGGGGGGGGCAACTGCCCGTCGCTCCCCCCATTTCGGTACACTATGTGGTGTCACATGACTATGTCCTGCCGATCAGTGTTGCTCTCTGCGTCATGTGAAACTCTTGGACACCTTCAGAGTTTTCAATTTTAGTTGGCTAGTTGCAAGATGGTGTCTCTCCACACTGGTGGTCTTTCTATCTTGTCAAACGAGTCATCATATATTTGAAAAGGAACTCGCTGCCACTGACATTTTTAAACCTCATGTTATTCTGCCAATTTCTGTGAAGTGCTGCAGGCACTCATATGCAAAATCTACAACGATTGTGGAAAGATATCAAGAGTTGGGTGCTTTGTGCAGGCAATAAGAAGGAACATTACCGACAATATTTTGCTCAGTACATGTTCCAAGCTGAATACAATGATCACAAGACTATACTTCACCACTTCCTCCTACAAGTAGCAACACTTTATCCTCTAGCATCTATTAATTAAGGTAGAAGGTTTCGTTTGGTTTTGTTTCTTCATGTCTTTGTGTGTTTTTACCCCACAATTTCCCTCGACTTCAAAGCTCTGCCAACTCTGTGGAACCAATATTGTTGGTAATTGGGGAGGGTTTTATCTCCATAATGGCTCATTTGCAACAGAAATGAAGGTCCAATTCACTTAAAACACCGCAAATACACTAGGAAAAAACTAGTTGTTATTAATTTCTTGGTCAACTTTTTGGGGAATCCTTTTCAAGTTAAAAATAAACACAATTTTAACAGGTCCCTAATCAGTAAAGTTTTAGTTTTGGTCATTTGGGAGTCTCAGGAATTTAATGATTGGAATCAGTAGATTAGACAATTCTAAGACAATTTTCTTCTATGACGTTTCGCTTGCAAATGACCTGACCTAACCTACTCACTGGGGGGGCTCTGCCCCCTTCCCCCTCGGCATATGTAAGTTGTTTGTGAGGGAAACGACCTAGTAGAAAATTGTCTTAGAATTGTCTAAACTACTGATTCCAAAGCTAAAATCCTAAGATTCCCAGGGTAATTATTAATTTTAGCACACCCTCGAGATGTTTCATTTTTTATGTATTTTGATGTGTTTTGTTCAGATCTGGCCTTCATTTCCAAGGGAAAAGCGTCGTTTAAAAAAAAAGAAGATGCAAGTCATCCTTCATCAAAAACGGATATTTTCCCCTTGCGGGGAGCCTGGCAGATCGAGAATTTTTTATATATTTTTTTAGGCGTTCCTCACTTGTGAGATTTTTCTGAAAGAAACATGTTTCCAAGAGGCTTTAAGGGTTGAGGAATGGGTATTTTTGCGCTTACATATTCCACATTCCTACCATTAATCTATTATCATATTCTAATAAGACGTCTAATTATAAGATCATTTTCATCTATTACATTACCGTCGCAAATGTATAATAACAGAGATGGCATATCCAAAATTTTCTCTATTTTCTTCCATTAATCTTCCGCCATTATCGCCTAACTCACCTCTCACACTGCGTGTCTCCTTCATAAATCATCATGCGCATGCGTTCCCGTACACGTCACGCGACCAATCAAAAGCATTTTTTTTAAACCAATTAAAGTGATTTGTGGTTAAATTCGCGGTATTTTTGGCCCAATCAAAATCGATTTTTATTTTGGGTCTCTCATATTTCGAAATTCAACTTCATTTCCGACCATGGAAGTCTGCAATGGGTGTCACTTAAAGTATATGGAGCTGATTGAGAGTTTTTGGGAAAAAACGAAGAAACTACAGCATTTTTTCGATCACATGGTGTTCTTCCAACCTCAGTAAAGTGTCTTAAGTGCAAGACTGAATGTAAATATTGCAAAGAACAACATATGTGGCGTTGTGTAAGAATCTCAAAATCCAACGACGAACAAGAACCAGCCCAATAAAGTAAGAAATAGGTGATTCCATCATATGGTGAGAGTCAGTTAGGTTAGGTTAGGTTTGGTTTTTGTTTTCTAGTGTGTTTTGGTGCATTTTTTATTCGCTTAGCCATTATTTTTTTCGAAAAACGTCCCACGAAAAAAAATCGATAAAAAAACCCGGCCAATTTCCGACGGAAATGAAGGTCATATTCGGTCTAAACACACATGAATACACTAGAAAAATATATTTTTTACTTTCTAACAGAGTGGGAGGTGGAAGTGCAAATTTACCGAGGAATGTATATACGAGGTAGAAATTGCCTAAAAGTAAGTGCTTCTATGCGATTTGAAGATGTGTTAACCATTCCCACGATGACCTTAACTACACTACACTACACATGTCATTGGCCTTAGTGGACTTTAACCAGTTAATCTTAGCTGATAATATTCCTTATCTAGTAAATTTTCTAGTTGCTCTCTCAAATTACGATTGGAAAATTTAAAACATGAGAGACATTTAAGTCACTAAAGATCTGAAAAGTCATATAAATAGGCAGAAATAAGATACTCTACTTGAAATAGAAAAAAAATCCAATCCTCATACAGGTAAATTAAGCTTTTATAAAAGATAATGAAGGTATATACTATGACTAATTTATATCTATGATGTCTTACCTTTTTCCTAGCCATCTTGACTAAGTATCACACCAACTAGGTAATGAGGTGGAGGAGAGTTATCATTGAAGGTGCATAATTCATCTGTTGTGTGGGACGGTTACACCTTGTTACCTGGCTATGGTTCACCAGTCTCGGCTCGGCTACCAACGGTTAAAATAAAGTAATTTACTTATGAATGGTTGTATTTATTAATATTAATATTTATATTAGAGTAAATTTTGATTAACTTTGATATATTTATTAAATAAATAAACTTCCTAGATGAGGTTATACAAATCAATATAGGGATTAGATAAAAGACTTTGTCCATTTTGTAAACAATAGAGCGAGATTCCAATAGGAGTAAATCTATATTGTTTTAAAAGAAACTTTGTCAGGTTAATAACATAAATTTAGAATTTCCGATATTGTATATTTCAGGTAAATTTACTTATAATAGTTCTAAAATATAATCCTCAATGAATTTTCCCATCATGTGAAGATGATAATGTCTACAGAAATTTTGGATGGCAATAGTTTGATAATGATGAACGGAACTTCCATAGTTAGATTGTCCATATATTTTTTCGCACGAGGATTTTTAAGGAACACTCTTTATAAAGTTGAATTTCGGATGAAGTCATTCCATCATTCATAAAAAAAAGCTTCGTCTGCCTCTCACTGTGCGGTCCGAAGCCCGTTACTGACTCCCATTCCCCAGTTCCATCCCGAACCCATAATTCAGGACATAACGAAGCCATGTTTCAAATCAATGAGTATCAATTGGTTTAAATAATACTTGTACTTACATTTTATTAACTTTGATCATTTGCTTATAAACATAAAAATTATATTGACAAAAATTCACTTTAGTAAGGAAGATATATCTCCATCTTTAAAACTTTAGTATATATACAGTATATATATATATATAAATATATATATATATATATATATATATATATATATATATATATATATATATATATATATATATATATATATATATATATATATTTTGAGCGTAAGTTTCGTAAATATAATTAGTATCTAAATCTTCATTTATTTCACTCTAAAATACATTCGTCCATCATTTCCTACTTAATATCTCTTGGAGCCCGTTGTCTGGCCTGGTTCAGAAGGGTTGTGGTACATCAGCAGCGGCCGGACACAGTGCACACACACGCTCAGGGTTTTGGCGGTAAATTTTTCCCGCCAACAATAGAGTGTTGTTGTTTATAGTGAGTGGACGTGTGCAGGACAGTACTTTGATAACTGAAATATTACCACAATGGAAGGTTTTGATGATCCTGGCATTTTCTTCTCCGACAACTTCTCTTCAGAGGACCAGCAAGATCAAAGTCAGATTAATTTCCAAACTATAAAGAAGAAGTTTCGGGAGTTTCTTCGTGAATTTCACGAAGGCAACTTCAACTACAAATACAGGCAAGTAAAGTATTTAACGAAATTGTGGGGGCTGTAAGTACTGTATAGTAATAGTTTGTCCTTGCTAAGGTTCATGGAAGCGACTCACATAAGATGTATGGCTTAACCTTTTCGCTGCGTTTCCCAAACATGTCATTTTATTATGGCTACCACCAGATGATTTTATTCAGCTTAAGGTAACCTCCCGCAGCCAAAGGGTTAAAACCCATCTCGGTATTATTGCAGTTTAGACCAATACACGGCCGACTGTTTTAACCATCCCCAACCTTTAGATCTCCTTGGTTGGAGTATTTCTAACTCCATTTCAACCAGGGGGCAAAGAATAACGTCAGAAATTAATTTTACATTTACTTTTATCCTCTTCATCACTGATCGGCTCGTGAGCCGCTTGGGCGATCGGTTACACCTCTTACACTGTTGCCAAGCACTGGGCATGCACTGGCTCCTGAATGTATCTGAACCTGCTCCAGTGTTGGTTAAGTCTGGTCTTGAAAGAGCTCACACATGATGCCGTCACCACAGTCTCTGGCAGTTTGTTCCAAGAGTTCACAACTCTCACTCCGAAAAAGTTACCCCTCACAGTTATCCTGACTTGCGGCTTCGTCCGCCAGCTCCAGGTAAGTACACTCGACTGAGTAGTGCCCTTTGAGATGCTTGTACACCTCAATCAGATCTCCCCTTGCCCGTCTGTCTGTAGTATAAGCTAAGCAAGTTCAGGCGCTCCAATCTCTCCAGGTACCTGAGGTGCTGCCTGCAGTGCAGGCACCAATCTGGTGGCTCTCCTTTGGACATTTTCAATCAGCTGACAGTCCCTAGCATATCTCGGGGACCAGACGGGTTGACAGTACTCCAGGCGGGGAAGCACTTCAATCTTGAAGATCATTATGAGGGTCGGACCATCTAGATATCTGAACGACCTTCTTATAAGCGGTCCGACTAATTACCCAAATGTACCCAAATGTAGTCGCAATGAAGTCAAATGATGGTTCTACAAGCGTAAATCGGGCTGTGAATCACTTCTCGATTATTATTTGGTGTCATAAAGTCACAAAAAATTGGTAAACTTAATTTAATCTGAGTTGTGTTAGGTTAGGTTAGGTTAGGTACATGCACTCGATCTATTAACTCAGATTAAATTACGTTTTCAAATTTTTTTTTACTTTGTGACACCAAATACTAGTCGAGAAGTGATTGGCAGTCCAATTTATTCATGTAGGACCATTATTTGACTTCATTGCGGCTACATTTGGGTAATTAGTCGGACCCTCTTATAAGACCTAATAACTAAGTTGCCTGGTTTACCTTCTCGCAATGGCCCAAAAACTTCAGTTAATTGTCAACTTACACACCTAAGTCCTTTTCACATTCTGTCTCGTGTAATGCAGTTTATTCATCTCGTTGGGACATATGATACGCCTCCTTACCGTTGGTACGTCCCAGGTGCATCCTCTTACACTTTGTGACACTGAATCTTTTCAGCCAATTCTTCGACCATTCTTGAAGCTCGCAGAGATCCTTCTGCAGCTATCCACAGTCCGCTTGGTTCTTAATTTCTCGAAATAACTTGGCGTCGTCAGCAGATATTTGTATGGAGGAATGTACAGCTTCAGGAATGTCATTTTATGAAGCAAACAAACAGCAGCGGGCCCAATACACTGCCCTGTGGTATCCCGCTTCTTACTGATACAGATGATGATTTCGTGCCATTAACCACCACACACTGCTTGCGGTCATGTAGAAAGTCCTCAACCCGCACCAGGACATTTCCCCGAATTCATGCAAAATCTACCGGTAGGTAAATATTGTCGATATTACCACCTTGATTTAGAATGGGTTAGGGTCATCTCGTATCCAAGACAACTCGTACCCGAGATAAATTTTACCCCAAAAAGTCAACTCGTACCCAAGACAACGCGTACCCAAGATTACTCGTACCCAACTCACGAGGTAAGTCGTACCTATTAGTCTATATACCATGCATTTTAACTTTATCTGATTTAAAAAAAAAAAGATTATGTAAATCTTGTAGGAAAGTGAAGTGAAATAGGGAAATGTAATGCAGGCTTTAAAATGGTTGCATTTCATTACATAAGTATGTTATTCCGTCGCACTAACTTTGCACTACAAGTACAGTACATATTTCACTCTATGTGGTTTAGAATTACTGTATTGCAATTTATAGATTTCGGGCTAATAGATTTGGCAGTTTCAATATACAAACTGGGCGATGTAAAAATTTAAAATGGTCATAAGTCAACAAAATATAGACATGCATAAAAACAGATTGATTTTCCATCCTTTTGTAAACAAATCAGTTCGTGTACAGTACAGTATATAATTCAGCGCTCCTCTCTGGTACTGCTTCCGGAATAACGAACTTGTTATACAGAGTGGCTGACATCGTGACATCGTCAGGAATTTCTTCTTCTGACATGTCAACATCAAGAATTAAATAATGTACAGTAGTAATAAGGATATAAAAGAATGAAGAGTGAGAATATTGGCTAACGCGTATACAATTAGTTATGTTAATGATACTCTGGTTAGATTTGTTTAAAAAGTTATGACCACACGGAAACAAGACCAGCATGAGTAATGTAACTACTTGATTATGTGTCGCCCAATATTCACGCTATTCATGTATTAAAATCAACCTTGTCCACGTTTCCATTATGGATATACTGTATATATATATATATATATATATATATATATATATATATATATATATATATATATATATATATATATATATATATATATATATATATATATGTGTGTGTGCAAGTAAATTACTGTAGGTAGCGTTGCTAGGTGAGGGCTTAATTAGTACAGCTAGTCTGTACTCACCCCTGAAGATGTGAATTACACGAAAGCGGTTGGGAACTTCGTGTTTTCTTTTTCCTTGTGGTTATCAGCATATATATATATATATATATATATATATATATATATATATATATATATATATATATATATATATATATATATATATATATATATATATATATATATATATATATATATATATATATATATATATATATATATATACATACATACATATACATACATACATACATACATACATACATATTACATATATATTACATACATATATACATACATACAGCATCTCTCGGTTAACGAACTCAATCCGTTCCAGAAGGTCGTTCGTTAACCGAAAAGTTCGTTAACCGAAACCATTGTTTCAATGGGTTTTTGGGTAATTGGTTCCAGCTCACCGAAAATTTCCTAAATTCAACAAAAATGGTAGAAAATTTCACTTACTTTGAGGTGTGTATGTAGAAGGCTCCTGGATGATGATGATGATGATGGGAATTACAATGGGGGTGGAGGAGAAGGAAGAAGAGAAGGCATTGGGGTGGAAGAGAAGTCACCCCATGGCACCATTTCACCCATAAAATTTTAGTTCTCTTGGTGTATTTCAAGATTATTTTCTTTAAATCAACACTGTACTGCATTATATATTGTCAATATGTAAAATATATTTCAAAATGACCAATAATTTGCTTGGAAACACAGAAAAAAGCGTTTAGTTGAAGAGAGTCTCAAGCAAGATATTACCTCCAGTGTAAACAGAGAGACTAACGCCTGTTTGCTGTGTTAAGAGGCTGGATGCTGCGCATTATACTAGTCACTTTACCTTCAATTATGTTCAATAATTGTTAAAATGACTAAAAAAATTAATATTAAACTTTTAAAATTATTGAATAGTATAAACTTCTTGATATTTACTAAAATAGTTAGGAATTTAAGCCCTAGAACCGATTAATGTATTGGCGGACTGATACTAAAGCTGGTTGCCCGGCCAGTGCAAGCGAAAACATGTTGAGGTCGGTTCGTAAGAAATTCGTTAACCGAATTTTTGTTCGTTAACCGAATTGAAGATCCTTATGGAAGGCAGTTCGTTAACCGAGGCGTTCGTTAAACGAGGGGTCACTGTATATATATATATACTCACACAGTCATGCGCCGGTTAACGTCCTAGATACGTTCTTGGAAACGTGACGTTAACCGAAATGGACGTTGTCCGGTCATCACATAAACTTTTTATTTATACTTATGTGTATGTGGAATACTATATACGTACATATACACTTTTGCTGTTAAATCACTACTGTAATGTGATACAGGTGATTAATTTTTATCTCTTGTGCAAAATACATGACGTTTATATTAAAATTATTCACTGTTTTACAAGGATTCCAGCAACGCCAGCAGATTGGGAGAGAGAGGGTGGGAGCGAGCGAGGGGGTGTGGGGGAAGGGGAGGTAGTACGTTTGACAGTTGGCACAGGCCCAGGTCTAACGAGTGTATATTTATCAGTTCTTAGGTGACTAAGCTTCTCTCTTATAAAAAGCCAGTGAAATGACCTGGGTGAATATAATTAACATAGCTGGGATTTTTGTAACATATTGATTAATTTGAATATAAACATGCTATAATTTGCACTAGACAAAACAATTTTAGTACCGTAATCAAATTAGTACATGTGCACTCCAGCTTTACACTAACGTCATTTATTTATTTTACGTTTCTTTTAGTATGGTGTGTGCATGTAAATGGATGAAAATAAATGAAGAAATCTATGTAAATCTACCCAAAAATACAGTTGAAAAACTTTTTTATAAAATGTACTACAGTACTGTACACTAATGTACAACAATTTTTATCTCTTGAGCAAAATATATGATGCTTATATTCAAATTATTGGCTGTCTTGCAAGGATTCCAGCAATGCAAATTATAATCTCCTAACTTTAGTCTGAGACATTATAAAAGATAAAAACTGTAAGCCTAAAAGCCTGGCTGTGGGGGTTGAGGTGATAACATTGAGGCGAAGGTCTCTGCGTGTTTATTTAATAGTCCTACTAACCTTCTCTCATTTTAAAATGCCAGTGATATGACCTAGGAAAATATAATTAACATTGTTGGGATCCTTGTAAGATACTGATTTATTTGAATATAAACATGTTGTAATTCGCACTAGACATAACAATTTTAGTACCGTAATCAAATTAGTACATGTGCAGTCCAGCTTTGCACTAATTTATTTTACGTTTATGTTAGTATGGTGTGTGAATGTAAATGGGTGAATATAAATGAAGAAATTTATGTAAATCTACCCCAAAATACAGTTGAAAAACTTTTTATAAAATGTACTACAGTATTGTACACTAATGTACTACATTTTTTATATCTTGAGCAAAATATATGATGTTTATATTCAAATTAATCTCTGTCTTGCAAGGATTTCAGCAATGCAAATTATATTATCCTAACTTTAGTCTGAGATATTATATAAAATGAACATAAAGAAATCACCAAACTTTTGTCTGGGAGGGAGGGGGCGGGAGGTGAGGTGACAGAATGTCTGGTGTTTGTTTGTTTATTTATTTGAGATAAGATTTGACAGTTGGCGCTGAAGGCCTGCCTGCGTGTTTATTTATCATTACTTAAGAGTGACTAAGCTCTTCTCATAATTTGCCACCCAAACGACCTGGGTGAATATAACTTACATTGGAGGGATTCTTGTAAGATAGTAATTTATTTGAATGTTTTTTTTTTTTTTTCAATTTAAATTTTAATTGTTTATTCCTTGATAGAGGAAGCGGGATTCTAGTGCTGTCACTTGGTACCCCTGTACCATAACACCAGAAGTAACTGGCCAGTGTCACAAGTATATACAGTCATCCCTTGGTTATCGCGCCTAATTGGGACCCCGCTGATAACGAAAGTACAGAACCTATGGGATTTATTCTAATTGGTTCCAGGCACCCAAGACCCAACCCCAAGTTTCCCATTTTACGACCATTTAGACCCACTAAATATATATATAATGTTATGGTAAATATCATAAACACACATAGGCATGGCTAGGTTTATTACAAAGTGATGAAAAGGGTATGCTTAATACTGTAGTCCACAAAACATGTAGCTATGCTTTTTTATTTGGTCCCCCATCATACGAGTCCGTTTTCTCTCACATCAGGATGCCTGAGTCCTCCGTTTTCTCTCTTAATCTTAGAGTGCACCAGAAACTTTACTATTTTTAGTAATGCCACAGAATTTGAAATTGCAACCCCAATTGCAACTGGGGTTGCAATTGTTGAGGCAACTAGATATGTCTGATTACAGCAAATGTGTTATTGTCAATTTGTAGGTGAAAGATTTTATCCTCAATAGATGTATTTTGTGGGGTTCAGGTGGTTTTGTTCGAGACTCAAAAATCACGATATGCTCTCTATACATGTTGTATTGGATGTACAATGCAGCTTGGTGCTGGGAAGTGGCAGCGTGGTTACAAGCGTGATGTAGAGAGAGCTAGTTGGTGAGGGTGCTCAGAGGAGCACAGCTTGTGGGTCGCCATACTTGCCGGCGGGAGCGAGGGCCGCCAGGCAGCGGCGGAGGAGGAGGTGTAGCTTGCTGCGGTTGTAGCTAGAAGAAGAGAGGTCACCACGAGGTCAGGTCTTAAATAGCGGGGGTAGGCGTGGCTTAGTAGTTGACCCCCGCTCCGTGGGTGGCGCTGGTTGACCCAGACCACGAGGCATACACTGGGGAATTCGCGGGGTCGGCTACTCAGCGACAAACAGCGTTTGTAGGGGAGAAATCCACTACAGGTTAACATATCGCCTGTAGGCAAATGCTTAAAAAAAGCCTAAGTAAGGAAGCATATTCCTTTAACACAATATCTGACCAGTATGGGGAGGATCATCATGTCTCCGTCAGGGGGTCGTGGAGTGGTGGTCCAGCAGGCGTCACATTTTTTTGGGGGGGTGGGGCACGGACGTATATGCGATCGGTCGTAAGTTCGACATAGATAAAAAATAAAAAAATAAATAAAAGAATTGATTAAAAAAAGAAAAATCTACAATGAAATACAGTACAGTAAAAGTAATAAATAATGAGGAATGGATAGTGTGACTGAGCACTTCCCTTTAATGTATTCAGCTGAATGCACATGGGGCCCCCATAATTTTCTATTCACAGGATACATGGAGACTATTAATTGGATGAAGCATGCACTTCCACAATAATCCAGTCTCATCCACATTGAATATTTGCTCAGGCAAATAATTCCCTTCCACAATCACTTCATCTAACTCCTCCTTAAAAGCTTCGGCAGCACCAACATCGGCACTAGCTGCCTCTCCATTCACCTTAACATTGTGTAGACTGCAGCGTTTTTTAAATCTATCAAACCACCCATGACTTCCTGTAAAGGTTTGATCACATTCATCTCCTGCCTGCTCCTTCAGGCTTTGGAACAGGTTTCTTGCTTTAGCCTGTATGGTTAGAAGGCTTAAGGGTACACGCTTCTGTATCTGGTCTTCTATCCATATCACCAATAATTTTACCATATCGTGAATAGGACCTTGTCTTTTCTTTGAAATTATAGTTCCCTTTGTAGGTGTTGTTCCTTTCACTACATCCCGAATACGTTCCTTGTCCTTCAGAATAGTGGATATGGTCGAGTGTGAGAAACCTAGGTCACTTGAGATTGTTGCTACAGTTTTTCCGTTCTCATGCTGAGTTATTATCTTCATTTTCATCTCAAAAGTAATTGCCTGTCTCCTTTTCTTTGGAGCACCACCAGCACTCTCACTTTTACGCTTTCCAGTCATTATACAGTCAATTAAATACGATAATAACGAAAGTTCACAGCGCGATCAGTAAAGGATACGATAGCCAAACACCAACTAAGCGCTCCACTGAGTGAGTGTACCCACGCTCTCGCCCGGGACAGAAACGTTTCGGTATAGAAAATGCGCGCGTCATTTGAAAATATTTTTGGTCACGACTGCAGCAGTCGTATGTCCCGACGGTCGTAAGGTCAGAGCAGGTCGTAAGTACCGATGGATGTAAGTCCAAGCACACACACACACAGCTGCTCCTCGCAAACGACAGAGAACAACAGAGTTATTTAAAATATTGGGTGAGGGAGGGTGGGGGCAGAGACAGTGGTAGTTTGCCGAATACTGGTCAAATAACCCTTGCCCCCCCCCACCACCACCAAAAAAAAAAGCCAATGAGATATTCTAAAGTATTTTTGAATACATCATTGTTTTATATTTAACTAACTCAGTTTATGGTAATAAAGTAACTCCTTGTTAGTACAGTATTAAAATTAGGTAGGGGTTATTTGATCAGTATCTGGCCGAATAACCACTGGTTATGTTATTACAGATGTTTTTGGTTTAGGACCAGAAGGATTTACTAGAAGAGCTAGAGTGGGATATCAAAAGACGATTAAAGAAGAGAGTGATAAAGAGTTCAATATTTAAATAATAGTGTAATGCCCCCAGCCATCCTAACCAGAATTCCATTAAAATCATAGTAAAATCGTACACATTCCTCATGGGTCCCGGTGAAATAGCCGATGGTTATTCGGCCAGGAATCCCGGTCAAATACCTACTTTATTAAAATTAACATTGATATACTGTACAGGTACCCTAATATGAAATAACTCACCTGTGTAAGATTAATTGCATCAATTCTAAAAGTTGTGTGACTAGTACTGAATTGCAGGGCAAAAGGGTATTGGTACAAAACTTCCCTCAACTACAGTTTAGTGTAGGACCCAAAGGATTAAGTTAAAAAAAATCCATATTGTTTAACAGAGAACACCTTTAGATGTCTCCCCTCAAGCTTTACTCATCACCATTTTTATTCATTGGTGGCCTCACTGCTCTTTTAACCATATTTTTATTATTTTCAGGGACTCGTTGAAACGTCAGTACAACTTGCGACAATACTGCTTGGAAATCAGTCTTGAAGATGTGGCCAGTTTTGATGAAACCCTTGGAGATAAACTTAAGAAAAACCCCACAGAACACCTTCCTCTAGTAAGCCTTATTCTTTCTAATAGATTTATCTAATTTACCAAATAGCTACTCCTAGAGGTGGCCATGCCTGTGTAGCATCCCCTCATTTGATAATTTTGTCAAATGCTATTTTCAAGCAAATACAGTAAACCCTTGATAGTTCGGCACATATGGGGCTCTGCCCTTGCTGAGTTATCCCAAACTCCTACTTATAAAGGCACCCCCTCCACCTCTACAAAAATACAGCAATGTAAAATTATTGACCCATATATGTGTACATGTAATTACTAAATGTTAAAAAGTAACACTTACCAGCACTGCAGGCAAAAACTGATGCATCATAGAAGGTGACACAGATGCATGGTAGGTGACACAGAGGTATGGTAGGTGACACAGGCCAGATATGTCGAGATTTTCCCAGATAATTTTATGTATCTCGGCATTTCCTGAGTTACCCCTATACAGTACAGGGTACTGTAATACTGTACATTCCAAGACCATATCTGTGCTGAGTTATATGAAATTCCAAGTTATCAAATGCCGAGTTATCTAGGGTTTTCCCTATTGTACTATTCTTGATTTCACAGCTTGGGCCTGTTACAGAGGTTTACTACCGTGTGTGAAAAAAATTATTTCCTTATACAGTTGGTCCTCACATTAAGCGGTCCCGCATTCTGCGTTTCACCGTTAACGCGGTGCCTTGCCAGAACCTAACATTTTCACATTCCGCGGTCGTGAACCCCATTACGCGGAGAGCGGCTGGCAAGCCGCGCCATTTTTTTATCCAAACCTCCCGCCATCCGCCATGTTGTGTAAGAGGCGCGAAAATGGTGCGCACAAGGTCGCCCAGTCATCAAAACATTACCGAGTTCTTCACCCGCCACCCACTACAGCCGGCCCAAGTCAGTGATAATTATAGTGAGGATATGGACTTATATGAACTTTGGGGGGTTTGACAAAGAGGCCCTGCAAGCCTCTGTGGTGGATAGTGATACAATTGATACAAGTGATACAGGTGAGGGCCAATAATCTGCCCTCTGCCTCGGAACCAACCGCCCATCCCTGTGTGCCCAGCCATCTTTTCTACTAATGTAAGTGTTAAAAAACCTAATATTATTGATATTTCTCTTAATTATTAATTGTGTGTGCATGCCATCATAAAGTTAAGATAATATTTTTACTACAACATAGTTGTGTGTCGTCAAAAAGTGGAGTTTGGGGATCGGCCTGGACTCCATTTCAATTAATCCCATATGTTATGTTGTTCACTTTACGCGTTCCTCACTTTCCGCGGGACCCTCCGGGTTACATTAACCGCGTAATGTGAGGACCAACTGTACTGTATCTTTATTCATGATAAATTGGCGAGGTTGTAGTTATGTCCTCTTGTGTTGGTGGAGCGTGACGTCACTAAGAAATGTCTCAGGTTCATGTTTTCCAGCCCTTTCAGGATTTTGATTGTTTCAATGAGATTTGCCCAATTGTGCCTTGTCTGAAGGATTGTTAGTCCTATTGCCCCTAGTGTACAAGGATTTGGATAATCAAGATAGCATAGTTCCAGAATCATCTTAGTTGCTTCGTGTTGCACTTTTTCTAGGGATGTTAGATCTTTCAGGCGGCAGAGTTTCCATGCCTGCATGCAGTAATCCAGACTGGGACATACTGTATTTGAGATTTGTACAGTTGAAGAAGCATTTTCCTATCTTGCCAATAGTATCCAGGAAAGTGCTCTTAACAGAATCATTTTGATTAGCATTTTTGTATTCTATGTCTAGGGTCTTGCATTTCGTAATGCTAAAAAGCATTTTCCAATCTGAAGACTATTTGGACTGCTCATGCAGGTTTTTCTGCATTGTTGCGACGTTATCTTGACGTGCTACCTTCTCAAATATCATTGTGTCATCTGCAAACTTAACAATGTGGCTTGATATATAAACTTGACAGGTGGCTCGATATATTTTCATCTTTATTGTTTTTGTAGGTCACAGACAGGGTGGGTCCAAGGAGAGAGCCTTGTGGTACTCCACTGAGAACCTTTTTCCATTCAGAATGTGCTACTCCATTTATTACCACTCTTTGTTGCTTTTCTTCAAACCAGTTTTTAATTCACGCCAAAATCTTGCCTGTGGTGCCATGTGCCTGGATCTTGGAGGCTAATAGTGCATGTGGGACTTTGTCAAATACCTTGGAGAAATCCATTTACAACACATCCACTAGTGAACCTCGGTCCATGTAGTCTTCCGTTTCACGGAATGTGAGTAAGTTTGTCAGACAGGATATTCTATCCATGAAACTGTTGTGATGCATTGATTAGACTGTGTTCAGTCAGGTGATGGATGATGGCATTAGGTTGATGAGCCTGTAGTGTTCTGCTCCACTTTTCCTACCCATCTTGTATGCTGGAGTGACATTGGGTAATTTCCAGTCCCTAGGTGCTTTACCTTGATGCAAGGATTTCCTGAATAAGAGTCATATTGGAGTGCACATCTCGTTTGCCACCTCTTTTATCACCTTGGATTCTGCTCCGTCCTCCAAAAATGTGAATTTGCTAGGTGTACCAGAGTTTTACAGTTAATTCATGAATAAGGTTTCTGATAAATTTCCTACGTGCTCATGTTTGCAATAATGAATGTATGTATCGTTATATACTTTAGTTAAATATCTTTCTCGTCAGAAACGGTCATCCCAACGATTATGAACAAACTCTTTTAGAAATACATTATTACTTCAGGACGAAATTGGACATATTTGCAACAACCAACCAGCTGTAACTCTTGAGGAGGGGGTGAGGCATATCTTCTCAGCTGGGAAAAAATGCACTATAGTATATACCATATTACTGAGCATGTGCAGAGTTACAAGGGCACACAAGAATGATTTTAAAATGTTTGTGCTATTTCACATGCTTCAGAAATGTGGGTTCTTATCATGTTTTTCCGTTTGAAAATTTTCAAAGCAAGAATGATATCAGCAGCATTTAAAAAATACCAAAATCAAAATATATTTTTATTTTATTTCTTTAAAATTTATTTCAGCAGGCTTGTAAAACAGAGTAAAAAAGTCTGGCCGTAGTCATGTATAAAAATTTTCATAGTACAGTCGACCCTCGTTAATTCAGACCCCTTTAATCCAGATTTCAGATAAATCGGACGAAATCTGAATTGTCCATATCAAATTTCTGGTTCTGAGATTGTCCCAGTTGCAATTGGGGTTGCAATTTCAAATTCTGTGTCATTACTAAGAAATAAAGAAGTCACTGGTGTACTGCACTCTAAGATTAAGAGAAAACGGATGACTCAGGCGTCCTGAAGTGAGAGAAAACGGACTCCTATGACGGGGCACTCAAATAAAGAGAGACATGGCTACATGTTTTGTGGATTACCCATTGAACAGTATCCTTTTCATCACTTTGTAATAAACCTCGTCATGCCTATGTGATTCTGATAATTACCATAACATTATATATTTATATATTTAGCTGTTGTACAAACACAAGGCCTCACACATGCCATTCAGACTGACAGACTTGACAAGTTTTACCAACCATAAAGACAGTTGAAGCTTTAAACATCACTCACAATGGATCTTGAATATTCCAACTGTAATCAGACATACCTAAGTTGCCTCAACAATTGCAACCCCAGTTGCAATTTCAAATTCTGTGTCATTACTAAGAAATAAAGAAGTCACTGGTATACTGCACTCTAAGATTAAGAGAAAACGGACTCCTATGATGGGGCACTCAAATAAACATACACTTAGCTGTATAATGCAATATTATGCAATATTAACCCTTAAATTGGTTAATTCGGACAATCGGCTAAAACGGACACCCTTCCCCCTCCCTATTAGTCCGTTTTAACGAGGGTCGACTGTACAGTACTGTATTACCTGTAGATGTCTTGCATCTTGCCTCCCAGCATTTTAGCAGTTATATTCTTAAGTGAAAAAATAAATCTTTGATGCCACTTTCAATGTACAGTTTGAGGAAGCTGCAAAAGAGGTAGCTGATGAAGTGACTGCTCCTCGACCCCTTGGTGAAGAGAAGGTAGAAGACATCCAGATCATGCTCAGCTCTGCTTCTCATCATGTTGATATTCGCAATTTGCAGGTGGGTGATTTTAGCGATTCTTGTATGGGATTACAGTATAATGTAACAAATTTACAGGAGTGATCTTTTTAACAATACAGTACGAGGTCTGATCAAAAAGAAACCTAACTTTTTAAATAGCGCGCCAACGAGCCAGCACAGCGTGCTCGCGATAGGAGCAGTGTGTAGCGGTGACCTTGACCTTTAGTTTAACACTAGCTGCATCACGCCACGTCAATTAGTCATCGAGCTACATGTGCTAGAGTGAATGTGTGTTTAGTGCACTTGGCGATTTGTTGCAAGTTGAACAATGAAGGATCTTGAAGAGCAACGTGTTTGCGTGAAATTCTGTTTCAAATTGGGAAAAACTTTTAAGGAGACTTTACAAATGTTGCAACAGGCTTATGGGGAGGATTGCTCGAGCCGTATGCAATGTCACGTGTGGTACCAGCGTTTCAAAGGGGGAAGAACATCCATTGAAGACGATCCCTAATCTGGACGTCAGAGTCTCTCAAATGTGGAGGTAATGTTGATCGTCTTTTTTGATTGGAAGGGCGTCGTTCATCATGAATTTGTTCCACTTGGTCAGATAGTCAATAAAGAGTTTTACTTGGAAGTCCTGAAGCGTTTGAGGGAGGCAGTGGAAAGGAAGAGGCCTGAGGCGTGGACAAACAAGACCTGGATGCTGCACCAAGACAATGCTCCTGCTCAAGCGTCGCTCCTTATCCGTGACTTTTTGGCGAAGCACGAGACGACTTTAGTCCCCCAGCCGCCCTACTCTCCGGATTTGGCCCCTGCGGAATTTTTTTGTTGCCAAAGTTGAAATCCACCCTGAAAGGTAGCCAATTTCAAACGATAGAAGAGATTGAAGAATATTCGCTACGAGACCTGCACACCATCCCTCAAAACAAGCTCCAGGACGCGTTCCAGAACTGGAAATAAACGTTGGGAGCGGTGTATCAACAGTGGAAGGGAGTACTTTGAAAGAGACAAGTCTGATTTAGTTGTAAGTAAAGCAATAAATTTGTTTTTTAAAAAGTTCTGTTTGTTTTTGGACAAACCTCGTACAATAGTGAATTAACCAGTTCTACATTGTTGCTAATGCTGTATAGTAATTCTCTAGGCACACTATATTGATTACCAGGTTCATTTAATAAGTCACACGTGGAGCAGATTTTTTCATGTACTGTACATGACCCTCTCATTTTAGTATCATGGAATATGGTGCCTCATTGCTTCATCAATTCACTTTTACGATGACCATTCTATGTTCTCAAGCTTGTCTCCATCTGTGCTCTAGGGGGGGGGGGTGTTTTTATGTATTTTTTATTATGTGTGTTTTCTGTTTTATTTTCTTTCTAATTATTCCTTTTTCTATTTTTTACTTATATTTATTTTATTTATTTCTAATAATTTTTAAGTAGTGCTGCATTTATTATATTTTTTCTAATTTCACTTAAAAAGATAATTGGTTTGTTCTACACCATATTCTATGCTGGAAATTATTAAATTAATTTATATACGGTGGTCCCTCGATTAACGAATGGTTCAATGAACGAAATTTCGGTTAACGAATTAGCTCCCATAAGGTTTTCAGTTCCATTACCGAACAAAACTTTGATTAATGAAAGCCTTAGGAGTACACGCTTTGTTGTGCGCATCAGGTGATAGCTAGTTTGCCAATACAGTAATTAGTTCTATGTTTACATTTGTTTCCAGTGGAGTAAATATATCAAGAAAGTTGTGTTCTTGAATATTTTTGCATTTCTTATATTAAAATTATTGGTCATTCTAAAATTTAGCCATCCAAGCTCTGTCTACATAAAGTTTTTCAACTAATATTTTTGGCTCGATATATGTAACTTTATTCATTTATTTTTACTCATTTACATGCACATACTGTCCTAAGGGCAAAGCTGTACTGTACATGTACTAAATGATTACTAAAATTTTTGTCTAGTGCAAACTATAGCATGATTATATTCAAATTAATCATTATCTTATAAGAATTCCAGCAATGTAAATTATATTCTCCCCGGTCACTTCTGTGACATTTTATAAGCAAAAAACATAAACTCAAGCTTAAGGACATAAATAAACAAATAAATACTTCACTAGGCCTTCAGCACCAACTGTCACCTCCCCTTTCTCCCTCCCAGCCAGGGTTTGGTGGTTATACAGTACAGTGAGTTCTGCTATCACGCGTGTTTTGACAACGCGAATTGGCTCTAACGCGATTTATGAATGGAGGAACGATATTTGTATAACGCGAACGCTTGTTTGCTGTAACGCGATTTTTGCTTACTATTTCTCCAATTTTGTGGTATTAACTGTGAATATGGTAAAGAAGAATATCTCCAAGAAGCGTTCTGGTGATCGCATTCCCAGTGATGATCGTAAAAGAAAGGCTATAACCCTTGAAGAGAAGCTCGATGTTATCTACCTCAAAATCACCCTTCTCCCCTATCAAGTTATATTCATATTTTTTCAAGGTAAAGTGTTACATTTACTGTATGATTTCATTATTAGATATGAATGTAACATTTATTTAGACTGTGCTATCCTTTGTGTTAGGCTAACTACTAATTTTTTTTCGATTTCGAGTAGTAATCTGCACCTAACCCTATTTTCTCCATAAGCCCTGTTATTTCTATTACGCGAATTTCTATAACACGATGTTTTACAAGAACACAACTATCGCTTTATAGCAGAACTGACTGTAGGCTTTAAGTTTTTATCTTATATAATATCTCAGACTAAAGTTAGGAGAATATAATTTGCATTGCTGGAATCCTTGCAAGACAGTTAATAATTTGAATCTAGACATCATATATATTTTGCACAAGAGATAAAAATTTTAGTACATTAGTTTAGTACATTTTAATAATGTACAAGTTTTTCAACTGTATTTTTGGGTAGGTTTACCTAAATTTCTTCATTTACATGCACACACCATACTAAAAGAAACGTAAAATAAATAAATAACCTAAGTGCAAACCTGTACTGTACATGTATTAAATGATTACGGTACAAAATTTTTTATGTCAAGTGCAGATTATAGCTTGTATATATTCAAATTAATCACTATCTTATAAGAATCCCAGCAATGTAAATTATATTTTCCCAGGTCATTTCAGTGGCATTTTATAAGAGAAAAACTTAGTCACTCTTCAGGACTGATAAATAAACACACATTAGACCTTCATGACCTGAGGATGTCTTGAATAAAAACAAAAGCTAAGGTGATCCTGTACAGTACAGTATACATAACTGTAATCACATTTTACGTCTTAACATTACTTTAACACTTTATTTTTGGCTGATTGTGTCCTGGTACAGTAATGTACAGTACTACACAAATTTTATGCAAAAACAGCAGCTAGCTAGGGAACAACCTTCTACAGTATAATGGGAGCAGAATATGAACTAAGCGATCCAAACAGCTAGTCTTACCACGTGGAGACACGTTGGAGCATGATGCAATCTCGGGGAACTCCCTGAAAAATATTTCCCAGACCCACAACAGAGAGTTTTGGAAAGATTTTCTCGGGAATTTTTCTGGAAAATGTGCCCGATTTTCATCCTTGGAAACTTGTTTGCACACCTGGAATGGAGAGAGTTTTCCTAGAAATTTTCCAGTCCAATTTACATTCCGGATATTGGAGAGTTCTGGGATCGGGAATTCTGACTAACAGGGAGATTACCTTGCTGATAGTGAAAGTGGATGGTGATGAAAAAAATTTTATCTCTCCTATCTCTGTCTTAATTTTTTTATCACAGCTCAGCACACATAATTCACCAAAGATTTTTTCATAAAATTAGGCACAAATTGACGCAATACCAGTGTAAGAATAAATCCCAATACTGTAATGGATTGGTAGATTAGATTGAGTATGGCTGACTGGTGAGCACCAGTAGAGAACACATATTTTGCATTCTTGTTTGTATAATTTGCAGACTAAGACTAAAGTGACATTTAAAAGTCATTGTAATATTGGTGCTGGTGTTATATAAGGAAATAAACTGACAAGCTTTGTTTAATTTACAGTCTGATGAAGTTAGTCGTTTGGTGAAAGTTGCAGGAATTGTAATTGCTGCATCAGGGGTAAAGGCTAAGGCTTTGACACTGACTGTTCAGTGTCGCTCCTGTCAAACTTCTATCTCTAATTTACCAGTTAAACCTGGACTTGAAGGATACCAGCTGCCTAGAAAGTGTAATACGTAAGTTGTGTCAAAAATTTTGGTTATACAGTATTCTATTGAAAATTGAGGAGTTTCTTGTTATATTATTAAACATAACTTTAGAAAATATTCCCAATATTTTTACTGGTATTTCAGAGAGCAGGCCGGAAGACCAAAATGCCCTTTAGACCCCTTCTTTATTGTGCCAGACAAGTGTCAATGTATTGACTACCAAGTACTGAAACTTCAGGAAGTTCCTGAAAATCTGCCACAAGGAGAAATGCCCCGTCATCTCCAGCTTTATGTTGACAGGTTAGTGCTACAGAAAGCCTTTATTCTGATATACGTACTGTAGTTCACATATATTTTCCACCAATACCAAGATGAGAAATCTGAATTTGTTAGCTACAGTATTTTATAATGCTATTTCATTAATATATTCTTAATTTGTGTTGTGAGCCATTCTTTATATAATTACTTATGTTAATGAAGATTTATTAAAAAAATTATAGTGATGTAAGAATCCTTTATTTGAAATTTGTAAATTTACATTTTCCAGATCATTGTGTGAGCGTGTTGTGCCTGGTAATCGCGTGACTGTTCTTGGTATATATTCAATCAAGAAAATAGGGAAGTCAACTGTAAGTTGTAATACTGTATATTATTTAGACTTATTACTGTTTATTTTATTGATTGGGATTTTCTTTGTTTATGAATTGTGATTTATGGTAATGCTGTACTGTAACTTGGTTTAGTTGGGATAAAGTAAAGCTAAGATACATATATTTTTATCCCCTCTAATGTGATGATGCTTCTTACTGAATGAGAAAAGCATAAAGTAAGGTTGGTATTGGCTGATAAAATATTTCTTATTCACCATAGCATGTATTACCAACAGAGAGGGCCACGTGACAGGGTTGCTGTAGGTATCAGAGCTCCATACTTGAGAGTAGTTGGTATTCAGGCAGACCTAGAAGGACGAGGATACACATCAGGTGTCACCATATCTTCGGCAGAAGAGGAAGAATTCCGCCTCATTGCACAGTCTGACAATGTCTATGAAAGAATCGCTCGAAGTATTGCTCCAAGTATCTATGGTTCAGAAGATATCAAGAAATCTGTAGCTTGTTTACTATTTGGTGGTTCACGTAAGCGTCTACCCGATGGTCTGACACGAAGAGGTGACATCAATGTATTGCTTCTTGGAGATCCTGGTACGGCGAAGTCTCAGCTGTTAAAGTTTGTTGAACGAGTGGCCCCAATTGCTGTATATACATCTGGTAAAGGATCTTCTGCTGCTGGTTTAACTGCCTCTGTTACAAGAGATCCTGTCTCAGTAAGTTTGTCATTTAGTATGTTGATAAGTACTTAGCAAGTAATAAGCTACATTCAGATAGGTCTGTTTTTACAGTATAACTGTGTTATTGAAATAGTTAAATTCCCTTGATTTTTTCAACAGCGCAATTTTGTAATGGAAGGTGGAGCTATGGTGCTGGCTGATGGTGGGGTTGTGTGCATTGATGAGTTTGACAAGATGCGTGAGGATGATCGTGTTGCTATTCATGAAGCTATGGAACAGCAAACTATCTCCATTGCAAAGGCAGGAATTACCACAACCCTAAATTCACGCTGTTCAGTGATGGCTGCTGCTAATTCAGTATTTGGCCGATGGGATGACATGAAAGGAGAGGAAAATATTGATTTTATGCCTACCATCCTTTCGCGATTCGATATGATATTCATAGTTAAGGATGAGCATGATGAAGCCAGAGATATGGTAAGTATGTTTTTTTTTAATTAAATTTTATATTGCAATATTTTTAATGCAGTAAGATAAACAAAAATTTTCTCTGGTTACATAGAATATACTGTACTGTACTAGCTACACTAATATGCAGTAATACCATACAGTAATATCTCCATTAGCCGGAATCCCTCAAACCCGCAACTTTCCGATAGCCAGAATTTAACTTTTCTCAGAAAATCGTTTCTAAAGTCACAATTTTCCGGAAAATTCTGGCTTTGGGAAAGATTTTCCAAGGGGCACTTTTTCCGGAAAATTCTGAGTATATTTTCCCGACGGGAAAATTCCGGGGTTGGGGAGTTTTTTCCAGGTTTGAGAAATGAATACCAGGCGCATTTTCTGGAAATTCCGAGAAAAATTTTCCATTACCCGAAAATTCCGGGGATGAGGGATATTTTTCCGGGTCCGAGAGATGATGTAATGGGCAATTTCTGGAACTTCCGAGAAAACTTTACCATTACCCGGAGAATTCCGGGGATGAGGGATTTTTTTCCGACTTTGAGAGAGTCGTCTCGTTACCCGGAAATCTCTCATTCCCGGAAGTGCTCTGCTCCAATTGTTCCGGCTAACAGAGATATCACTGTATATCACTTTACTGGACTAGTTTTTGCATTGGATGGTCCAGATGAGAAATTTCAGTGTGCCACTTCCCTCACCTCCAGGTACTGTACTACACAACCCTGCATACTATGGACTATCCTAGATTGAATCAACATTTTGTTTCCTATTGTGTTTTCACCTTCACTCTTTATATGCTGAACCAATGTGAGCTTGTATGAGGATTTTTATGACATAAATATTACATATTTGTCATACTTGAACTAGATTGAATGGCATTTACTCTAGATTATGAAAGATTCACTTTACTGCAACTTTTATATATATTTTTAAGAATAGTATTATACAGTAGTGGGGAAGCCATTCCTGCTTCACACTGCCTAACTGTTCTCAACTTTGCACTCATACCTTTCAGAAAAGTGAAAATTATAAAATTTATTTGATGGATAGTTAAAACTGAATACAGTCATGCGCCGGTTAACGTCCAATCGCATATACAGGTATTCATATAAATCACTATCTTACAAGAATCCCAGCAATGTAAGTTATATTCACCCAGGTCATTTGGTTGGCAAATTATGAGAAGAGCTTAGTTACTCTTAAGTAATGATAAATAAACACGCAGGCCTTCAGCGCCAACTGTCACATCTTATCTCAAATTAATAAACAAACACCAGACACTGTCACCTCACCTCCCCCACCCCCTCCGCCCCCATGCTCGCTGGCTACATCCCTCCTTGTGTTCCCAGACAAAAGATTGGCGATAACTTTATTCTTTAAGGTGTTTATTTTATATAATATCTCAGACTAAAGTTAGGAGATTATAATTTGCATTGCTGTAATCCTTGCAAGACAGCCTATAATTTGAACATAAACGTCATATATTTTGCTCAAGAGATAAAAATTGTAGTACATTAGTGTACATTTTATCATATAAAGTTTTTCAACTGTATTTTGGGGTAGATTTACAAAAATTTCTTCATTTATTTTCATCCATTTACATGCACACACCATACTAAAAGAAACGCAAAAGAAATAAATGACCTTAGTGCAAAGCTGGAGTGTACATGTACTAATTTGATTATGGTACTAAAATTGTTATGTCTAGTGCAAATTATAGCATGTTTATATTCAAATTAATCAGTATGTTACAAGAATCCCAGTAATGTAAATTATATTCACCCAGGTCATTTCACTGGCTTTTTATAAGAGAGAAGCTTAGTCACTTAAGAACTGATAAATATACACGCGTTAGACCTGGGCCTGTGGCAACTGTCAAACCCCTCCCTCCCTCCCTCCCTCTTCCCCCATCTGCCCAGCATTGCTGGAATCATTGTAGAACAGTGAATCATTTTAATATAAACGTCATGTATTTTGCACATTAGATAAAAATTAATCACCTGTATCACATTACAGTAGTGATTTAAGAGTAAAAGTGTATGTACGTATATAGTATTCCACATACACATAAGTATAAATACAAAGTTTATGTGATGACCGGACAACGTCCATTTCGGTTAACGGCACGTTTCCAAGAACGTATCTAGGACGTTAACCGGCGCATGACTGTAAAATAAAGTACACGTGGCATCTAACTATATATTTCTCTACCTTCACATTTAAAACTCTTGCATCATAGGCAATATGGCTTGTGGTGCTTGAGCTATTTACTTGTTGGTGCCATCCTTTTATAGGCTTATTTTGTTATTCACTCATTTTAGTTGTTTTTTGTGTATGATTTAATACTTAAGACAATTAGGATATACTGTATATATATACAGTGGTCCCTCGGTTAACGAACGGTTCGGTTAACGAATTACCTCCCATAAGGATCTTCAATTCGGTTAACGAACAAAGCTTCGATTAACAAAGTCCTTACGACAAACACGCTTTGTTGTGAGGATCAGCTGATGGGCTAGTCTGTCAATTCAGTAATCTGTTCTATGTTTACATTCGTTTCCAGTGGAGTAAATATCAAGAAAGTTGTGCTCTTTAATATTTTTGCATTTTTTATATTTAAATTATTAGTCATTTTAAAATTGAGTTAACACATTGATAATAAATGCAGTACAGGGAACTAGTTTTTTGCGTGCCCATCAGCCGCTTGACTCAGCCACCAGGCGTCAGTTTGGCTTTGTTGACAGTGGCGTGAACATCGATTTTGTTGGTGTCTTGAATATTTTTGCATTTTTACATTGAAATTATTGGTCATTCTGAAATTTTGTTAACATATTGATAATATATAGCGCAATGCAGTGTTGATTAAAAAAAAATCTTGAATTACACCAAGTGAACTTAAAATTTTATTGGTGAAATGACTGCATCAAGCATGAGTCCCCTGAAAGGTGATTTCTCCTCCATCCCCACTTCCTTCTCTTCTCCCTTCTCCTCCACCCCCCACTTCTAATTCCCATCATCATCATCAACCAGGAACCTTCTACATACACACCTCAAAGTAAGTGTACTTTACTGCATTTTTTTTTTACTCTGTATGTATTTTTCTGTGAGCTGGAACCAGTTACCCAATATCCCATTGAAACAATGGATTTGGTTAACGAACGACTCTGTGGAATGAATTGTGCTCGTTAACCGAGGGACCACTGTACACACACACACATATATATATATATATATATATATATATATATATATATATCCGTGTGTGTCCGTGTGATTCAGCAAAGAGTACATTAATTGGAGGATGAAGTCCTTGGATAATTCTAAACCACAGTGTCTTTATGGTAAAATGTCAGATTCTGCCTAGTTTCCATGTAACAATTCATTTAAGATGTTGTATTAATGAGAGTGAATTTGAAGTGAAACCCCTGTAATCATTTATTCACAGATCTCTACAGTGTGACCCCTCTTTGTTACAACCTAAAGGGAATGTTCAAAGTTGCCCCCTTCTGCCTCAATGCAGGCCTGTACACGTCGTACCATCGATTGTCTGACGCGTTCCAGAATGCCTGGACTATGTTTAATTTGCTCGCACCTGTCACGAGCAAGTAGGCATGTACAGAATCTGACATTTTACCATAGAGACATTGTGGTTTAGAATTATCCAAGGATTTCATCCTCCAATTTAATGTACTCTTTGCTGAATCACCCTGTATACACACACACACACACTTTACCTACACAGTATTTGACAAACTTTTTATTAAAAATGTAGGAGTGGAATGCAAGGTGACACTCAATGAGGTGGAAGTATCATTGTAGTTGCATTTCTACAGTGATTGATCACTTGTATTTGCTTATTTCCACTTATTTTATAGGACACATTTATAGTCACTTAGGTTTTTATTTTTTTTATTTAATTTTAATTTTTTTTAATGCAATATGAACAGCTTACTATAAAACATTATCACCATGCTCTTAACTTTGGATATGTGAGTAGACAAAATTCTCTTCTCCACATTCCTGAGCACTTTTTTTTTTCATTATCAGGAGAATTTGAATTAGCACTCCATATATATTCAGGAATGACACACCACCGCTCAGCTTGGCAGCCCAAGCATGAATGGGAATAACAGGGAGGAGTCAGCAAAATTCAAGCTAATTACCATCATGTTCTTTGCAGACCCTGGCCAAACATGTAATGAATGTCCACTTGAATGCTCTGAAGACTGCAGAAGAAACTCCAGAGGGTGAACTGTCACTCAAATTTTTGAAGAAATATATCACCTACTGTAGGAGGTAAGCTGGGTAGAATCATTGACAACACCCAATATTTTGATCTTACCTGTGGTGTGTCACCCAATCAGGAGCTCTTGACATAAAAGCCTTTAGGTATCCCGATCACTACTTTTCTTTTTTGCCTTGTCTGTTCCGCATATTCCATCCATATTCTACCTTTACCGGTACTATACTGTACATATTAATAAAGAATCTAGCTAAGTTATAACTAAATTACAAGGATTCCTAATGATTTGTAGAAACTACAGTATGAAGATTGACCTAAAATTAGGAGAACAAGATACAGAAATAGAATTGCTGCTGAATATTATGAATCTGGGATTGATTTTATACATGGTATGTACCAATATTATTTGTGTGTGCGTGCATGCATGTATGTTTGTGTGTGTGTGCATGCATACGTGCGAGTGAGAGATATACTACTGAACTCATTGGTTTGCAATTTTTCAGTCACTGTGGCCCAAGACTTTCTGAGGCAGCAGGAGAAAAACTGAAGAACCGCTACATACTAATGCGAGGAGGAACTCGTGAAGCAGAGAGCCAGTCAGACAAGAAGCTAGCGATTCCTATCACTGTCAGGTTAGAAAAATACTATTTAAAATGCAAACTGCTCATCACTGCAAGAATTTAGGTTGTTGTAAAAGTTTGTCATACAGACAAAGCCATGGTTCGTACAAAAGTTGTTGTTTGGTCATTGGTAAGCATTCATTGCTGAGCACCTGGAGTGAACTGGAAAGAAGACTTAATATTTAGTTCAAGACGGGGCTGTTTCGGTCTTCTCTGAAGCGATCAGTCTGCCCCTCCTGAGGAGCTAGGACATCTACCTCATTTAAGGTGTATTTGTAAGAGAGAGTAGTTTCGTACTTTCGTAAGAAAAAAAACATTATTATACTGCATACTATAGAAATCCCAATATAATACTAACCTGTGCCTTCTGTCAGGCGATGAGGTCTTTCACAATGGGAGAGGACATCTAATGGGTGCCTGAAACCATGAAGAGGTAGATACTGGTCTCGTCTTCCACCGTTGCCTTGCACTTGAGCTGTGGTTCCCAAACATGGATTGCATAGAGCTCATAGGGTTACTGGAGTCAAGGGGTTAACACAGTTACTCTCCTTGTGTCAAGTCAGACTTGCCCTGATGACACGTTTTGCAACAGAAGTTCCACACTCCTACCTTTGAACTGTTCTCAGTTCAGTTCACTTTCTACTTCCCATGGATACTGACAGAAAATGGCAGCAAATTTTAAGGATAAATTCCCTTAATTGCTTACTAAGTCTTAGTTTTCATTTGTTCCGTTTCCGTTCAAGACAGATGTAAAACAGTGTAGCTCTTTTGTGCTCGAAATAGCAGAATTACAAGCTGACAATGAGACAAGGGTGAATTTTGACGTGCGATATATCAGTGTCTTGGATTACTTTATTTTAAAGAGACATTCAGCAGTTAGAAATCGAGCTATAAAGGTTCTGGTAGTACCTATATCGAGCTATAAAGGTTCTGGTAGTACCTATATCTGTGAGGCAGCTTTCTTGTCTATGGTGTTTATAAAAAATTATTACTGTAACCATATATCACACTTCAATTTGGTGTAAATTTTTTGACATCGTAAAACTGATCGATCGTATAACGGTCAACACATTTACAGTATACTGTATCACTTCAGGACTAGGCTATCCACACACTGAGGACTGAAAAGTAGGAAGCTGCATACCCGTGCTACGTGTACGGTGCTGACAACGTAACACCACTGCGATGCCAATCCAATGATGGTGTTTGTTGATGGTTATGTTATTTCAAACATTAGCCTACGTAAATAAAACAAAAAAAAGTGTGAATAGACCACAAGCATTACAGGCATACCCCGATAATCGACGCATATAGGGACCGGGAAAAGTCATTAGTTAGTGAATCAACGGTTATCGAAGCAATTACTCCCATAAGAATATATCAAATTCAGGGAGTTGGGGACAGACCACCCTCCAAAAATTTCCATCTACCCTTGATATATCTTTGTCGTGCACACTATCATGCAAAAAAATAAAGCAAGCAAATGAAGCCTTAAATAAGCAATATAAAGCATAAATTGAGACTTATTTACCTGTGTTGAGGATGGTAGAGATAGTCTAGGGTACCAATATTTGCTGGTCCATCACCACTTTATTATGCCTTATTACACCTTATCTTGCCTTATCACATCACATGAAGTTGCCCCTAAGAGGGGCACCACAAGAGGAACTATCATTAGGGTGTTTAGTCATGATTACCTACCGGTAACACAAAATTGGAAATAATGAAAAAAAATGGTCCGAGACACATGGTAAGTGTAAACAAGAGTAAAGATGGTGGGAATGAGTCAGAGGTAGCACGCAGAGCCCTCTCATAGCAAGAATTCGCACCGTGCCACTTCCCGCCAAGTTCAAAACAGTTCTGCCACTCTTCTCCTGATCGTGAGATCTCCGGGGTATCTACGAAACTTTGGGGTATTTCCCCGATATGTAATTGTTGGTTATGCGAATCTTAGGTTATTGAGGTGTCGTTTTTCGGGGTATACCTGTACAATATTCTAAAAATGGCGTAAATCTAGAGGAACCTGTACACTTTGTGTGTGTGTGCTTATACCAGAATGTTATTTTATTTATTTATTTTTTTCAGAACATCAATGTGGCCCCCCAAATTCGCAGATTTTTATTTCGCATTCTTTTATTATTCATGGATGACACTGGAAGTACCCAAGAATGTCTGTGGGTAGTTTTAATTGCCGGCATTTTTGCGGTTGGGACAGGAAGCCATTTGTTCTAGAGACAGTAATTTCCTTTATCTGTATTGTAAATACTGGGGGTACCCCAAATTCCCAGGGGTTTGGCTCTAAAAATGGTCGCGAATAACCAAATCCACAAATAACATTTGCGGACTGGGAGGCAGGTTACATTTTTACTTGTATACAAAGAAATATATATTCTCTTTGTGTTTGCCCTTAGGGCAATTATTTCTTTTACCTGTAGTATTATGTATGTGTGTGTGTTAACGCACACACAAAACATATACAAATAAATAATAATTGGAAAAGCCTCTCACAAATAATCAGAAACAAATTTGTTAAAAGTGTGAGTCTACCCTCAAGTCCGTGCTCTATTAATAAAGTACTGTAATAGAGCACAGACTTGAAGGTAGACTCACATTTTTAATAAATTTGTTTCTGCTTATTTGTGAGAGGATTTTCCAATTACAAAAGAACGTCGATTTAAAGCGATTCAATTTAAGATTATTGATTTAAAGCGACACCCACAATTAAGGACAATGTTTTAATTTATAGCGAATCTTTCCTATTTTACGCAAGTCAATCTGGCGCATCACATTTTAAAATTCGCGCCCAATGTTTTTCTGGGCACGCTACACTATCCTAAGGGCAAAGCTGTACTGTACATGTACTCAAAATAATGTACTAAATGATTACATTACTAAAAATTTTGTCAAGTGCAATCTATAGCATGATTATATTCAAATTAATCACTATTTTATAAGAATTCCAGCAATGTAAATTATATTCTTCCTGGTCACTTCTGTGACATTTTATAAACAAAAACTCAATCAAAAGGACATAAATAAACAAATAAATACCTCACTAGACCTTCGGCCCCAACTGTCAAACGTGTCACTGTCACCCCCCTCCCCCCTCCCCCTCCCCATCTTCCCAGCCAGGGCTGGGGTGGTTATAGGCTTACAGTTTTATCTTATACAGTATAATATCACAGACTAAAGTTAGGAGAATATAACTTGCATTGCTAGAATCCTTGCAAGACAGCGAATAATTTGAATATAACGTCATAAATTTTGCACAAGAAATAAAATTTTTAGCCTTTTGTAATAAAATTAATTGGAAATAAAATTTGTATGTCTAATGCAAACTATAGCATGTATATATTCAACTAATCACTATCTTCTAAGAATTCCAGCAATGTTAATTATATTCTCCCACGTCAGTTCAGTGACATTGACATTTTATAAGAGAAAATCTTAGTCACTCTTAAGGACAGATAAATAAATAAGCACTAGACCTTGGCATCAACTGTCAAACATATCACCTCACCCCCCTCCCTCCCCCATTTTCCCCATCAGCTGATCACTAGTAAACAGACCATTTCACATCCCATAATTTTAGCTGTGTTGATTTATGAGTGTTTGTTTTAACATAATACTACAAAAAATAATGTTTTGTTTATTCAAGGAGATGGGCTGAGGTGCATCTCGGTAGACTGTCAGTCTTTTTAGTATTTTGTGTTTCTCTCAAGTACCAAACTAAATTATTCCATTGAAACAACACTGATTTAGTGCGAATTCGGTTTAAAGCGACCTCTCTTGGAACGTATCTCGTGTTATATCAACGTTCTACTGTATTATTTATTTGTATGTATTTTGTGTGTGTGTCTACACACACACACACACATATTTACAATACAGGTAAGGGAAATTACTGTCTCTAGAACGAATGGCTCCCTCTCCCAGCCGTGAAAATGCCGGCAACTTTAAAATTACCCACAGACATTCTTGGGTACATCCAGGGTGTCATCTGTGAATAGCCTGAAAGTTGCTAAGGTATATTATAACATATGTAAATTCATAAGGGAATCATGTACCAAATTCTTTAACTTGTAAGAGTGGTTGTGTGATTAGAAAAATTGTAGTATTATTGAGCCACACAAATGTCTTTAGCTACTCAACTAAATCAAGCATTACTTCCATTGGTGAGTTTATATAAACAAATCATTATTTAACAAACTTTTAAGTTGGATGAAGTACTGTAAACAGTACCAACACATGTATGGTGAAATTGTAAATTTGGGCTAAAATCTTTGTAGTATATAAAATATTTATCTGTATGTTCCCCTCCAGACAACTGGAAGCTATTGTTCGAATAGCAGAGTCTATGGCTAAAATGCGTCTGGAGCCTTTTGCCTCAGAGAGAGATGTTGATGAAGCACTAAGGCTCTTCCAGGTCTCCACTCTTGATGCTGCAATGTCAGGATCTCTTACTGGTAAGTTGAATTCATAAAATTCATAATGTGTAGGCTATAAGAAAATATGCTGCATATAACAGTTTTTGTTTATGGGTGTTTGGTCATAGTTCACTTAACTGTGAATGAGTACAGTACCAAACTTTATTAATACAGTAATGTTCCTTTTTCACACTTTTTTATGAGTTACTGCTACTGAACAACTGAACATATTTGCTGCAATTCAAATTGTAATATTTTTTTCACTTTTTATAGGTGCTGAAGGCTTTACAACCGAGGAGGACCAAGAGATGATATCTCGTATTGAGAAACAGCTAAAGCGAAGATTTGCCATTGGATCTCAAGTATCAGAACATGCCATTATCCAAGATTTTTTGAAACAGGTAAATTGATATTATTGTACTATTTAGATAAATTTTGAATTGTGTGCCCCCAGGGAGGCATACCTGTATTGATTACAGGGGGGAAATTGATCTGCCAACCTTCAACTCTGTTTGTCATATAATTTTTGTCCCACATTCTCATTGTTCCAATTGCATAGGTAAATGTCTACTTGCCCTTTAATTTTTATTGATTTATTTATTTTTAAGTTAGATTGCCATACATGGTACTTACTTGTCAAAGATAGATGGATATTGGAGGTTGTGCATACATATATCAAACATGAAGAATTGTGCTACTGACAAAGTGCCTCTTGTTGCAGAAATACCCTGAGCGTGCTGTTTACAAGGTGCTGCACTTCATGATCCGACGTGGGGAGCTGCAGCACCGCCTTCAACGCAAGATGTTGTACCGCATCAAGTAGATAGCATTTTAGATGCTGAATTGTGTCATGGCTCATTATTTGTACATGAGAATTTAATAACTGTTTGCCCTATTTTTGCATAAAGCATATTTTTGCTCGGTTAAATGTTATCTTTTCCAAAAAAAAAAAATATATATATATACATACATACATACATACATACATACATACATACATACATACATACATATATATATATATATACACCACCTATTTACATTTTATAGTTTATTGATAAGTATGAGACTACACATGAAGCATGTACAAAAATAATTTTATAATTCTCCTAGTTGATAAAACTGCTTCTCAAACAAAATATTTTTATTGTAAAAACCAGTGATTGAAACTTTTGTAATAAAATATACTATATTGATTAATAATTGCTCCTTTAATTAATACAGTGACCCCTCCGTTAACGAACTCAATCCGTTCCAGAAGGTCGTTCGTTAACCGAAACCATTGTTTCAATGGGTTTTTGGGTAATTGGTTCCAGCTCACCGAAAATTTCCTAAATTCAACAAAAATGGTAGAAAAGTTCACTTACTTTGAGGTGTGTATGTAGAAGGCTCCTGGACGATGACGATGATGATGATGATGGGATTTAGAATAGGGGTGGAGGAGAAGGAAGAAGAGAAGGCATTGGGGTGGAAGAGAAGTCACCCCATGGCGCCATTTCACCCATAAAATTTTAGCTCTCTTGGTGTAATTCAAGATTATTTTCTTTAAATCAACACTGCACTGCATTATATATTGTCAATATGTAAAATATATTTCAAAATGACCAATAATTTGCTTGGAAACACAGAAAAAAAGCATTTAGTTGAAGAGAGTCTCAAGCAAGATGTTACCTCCAGTGAAAACAGAGAGAGACTAACTCCTGTTTGCTGTGTTAAGAGGCTGGATCCGCCCATTAAACTAGTCAATTTACCTTCAATTATGTTCAATAATTGTTAAAATGACTAAAAAAGTTATTATTAAACTTTTAAAATTATTGAATAGTATAAACTTCTTGATATTTACTAAAATAGTAAGGAATTTAAGCCCTAGAACCGATTAATGTATTGGCGGACTGATACTAAAGCTGGTTGCCCGGTCAGTGCAAGTAAAAACATGTTGAGGTCGGTTCGTAAGAACTTCGTTAACAGAATTTTTTTTCGTTAACCGAATTGAAGATCCTTATGGAAGGCAGTTCGTTAATCGAAATTACGTTAACCGAGGTGTTCGTGAAACGAGGGGTCACTGTATACAGTATACTGTATGTTAATGAGGAATAGTAAAAACTTGGAAACTCCAAAAGCTTAAATAAGACCTCTGAAAGTTCTTAATGTCTTGATTTTGTAATGAAGCTGATGGGCAAAGAAGTGAGCTGGACACAAGTGAGGAATGAACAGCAAAAGGTGTGGCAGCATTTTTTTGTAATGAAATGTGAAGGTGGGTAATAGGCTATAATGAGGTCAGTCCCAAATACTTATGGGTCAAACTATAAGTAGAATGTGAATGAAAGGATCATGGGATTGCATACACAGTACAATGTGCTTCATTTTAACGAACTAATTGGTACCACGAAAATGGTCGTTAATGTGGCGAGTACAGTTTACATGCGAAATGGGTCAATTGGTACCAGCCCTCAGACACTTTCATCCCTATAATCCCTGTGAATCCCACAAAAAATTACAACCACTTATTCACACATTAATACTGCATGTAGAGATAATAACTAATCTTTAGACACTCATTGAACTGCTTAATGAGGCTGTTTGCTGTCATCCAAAGCATGGGAGTGGTGTTAGTGCGCCCCTGCCCCCACAATCTCACACTGCGCTGCTTCCCCAGCACCACCACCAACTGTTCCATCAGTCTCAAAGCCAATGAAGTCCATGATTGCTTTCTTTTTGTCATACGTGTATTTTCTTTTAGTCCCACCTTTGAGACGGTCACATTTCTTGGCTGGCTGTTTATCCTCCTTTCGTCCTCCACCTGCACCTCTTCACCCTCCAGCAACAGCAGCTCCTCTGATGCTACTCATAGTCTACGCTTCACATCACAGGTAGAGAGGTTACGCAACAGGTCACATAAGAGAGTACGTTACACCACACTACCTGTTCACACGTTCTGATCAAAAGAAACCACCCCGTTCGCTGACATCATCAAGATGGCCGCCCAGAGTGACTCAACTTGCGCTACTGATCGTTATTGTGTTGAAATATATCATTAATGTATTGAGGTGTCATATTTCATTACTGTCATTATTGTGATGAATCGTTAATGTGAAACTTGTTAAAGTGAAGTATGTACTGTATGTAGTACCAGGGATTAGAAAGGGGTTTGGAAAGACCTGAACAACTGCACTGAAAGCCAAATCCATATTATTCTTGATATTAGAGTTAGAAATGTTGCCAACTAGGGGATTTAGTAAAGAAACTAACCATTTAGATAGTTTATAAGAGATTGACCCAACTGAGCTAATGATGGGTCTTGCTGGGTGATTGGGCTTGTGGGTCTTGATTACACCGTACATGTATGGCAGTGGAGGGGACGTTGAAGTAAGATGTTTAATGAGAGTAGCTTTGCCTCTCAATAGAGACTTCAGTTTTTTGTTGAACTGGGTGTTAACTGTGTTGAGAGGATTATTTATGAGTTTAGAATATGTTGTAGTATCACGTGCACCTACAGTGATTTACTTGTATATATATATATAAATATATATATATATATATATATATATATATATATATATATATATATATATATATATATATATATATATATATATATATATATATATATATAATATATATATATATATATATATATATAAATATATATATATATATATATATATATATATATATATAAAATATACATATATATATATATAATATATATATATATATATATATATATATATATAGTGATGATGGATGGTGTTATATGTAGTGATACCTATAATCATTCTTCAAGCTTTCACAGGAAGATGAGTTTGTTCAAATACTCCTGTATGTTGACGTACCCAAGTTCTACATATGGCAGGCTTCAATGAAAAAGTTCCAGAGAAGAGCTCAAGGATCCGATGTTGAAGGATATCCAGGGATAAAGTCAGGCAATGCTTTGGGACGTGTCTACACGGTTCACTCCAACAACTTTGAATGCTATTGTTTGAGACTACTTTTGCACCACATCCGTGGCCCAACGTCATATGCAGCACCCAAAACAGTGAATGGACAAGTCTGCAGAACCTATCAGGAAGTGTGCAATCTCTTTGGCCTACTGGAAGATGATGGTCACTGGAATGACACATCAGAAGAGGCAGCAGCTACTCAATCACCAATGAGAATGAGTAGCCTGTTTGCCATCATGATTGCTACATGTGGACTTTCCAACCCAAGCCAGTTCTGGAAAAACCACCAAGAAAGTCTTTCAGAGGATCTGCTTCATCAAGCAAGAAGAGAACATCCTGGTCAAGAGATTGAGTTCATGGATGACATGTTCAACAGGGCTCTGATCATGCTGGAAGACAAAGTGATGGAACTATGCAGAAAAAACCTGATTGATTTTGGATTGTCTTCCCCAAACCGAGAAGAACCAGTAGTTGCAAACAGGGAGTTGCTTAGAGAGACAGACTACTCAGTTGAAGTTCTGGTGAATTTTCTTGAAGAAAATGAGCCCCACCTGGTGCCTGATCAAGCAAATGTTTATTAACAGATCTTGCAAGCGATACAAGCAGGGCAGGGAGGTATGATCTTTCTTGATGCACCTGGCAGGACAGGAAAAATATTCCTGATCAACCTTCTGTTGGCCAAAGTGTGTCATCGGGGGAAAATTGCTCTTGCTGTGGCATCCTCATGCATTGCTGCAACACTACTAGAAGGAGGACGTACTGCACTCGACTTTTAAACTGCCTCTCAACCTCGCTTACAATGAGAATACAGTATGCAACATCAAAAAAGGATCGGCAAAGGCAAAACTCTTAGAAAAATGCAGCCTCATAGTCTGGGATGAATGCACTGTCTCACAAGTTAGCTTTTGAAACATTGGACAGGACCTTGCAAGACATACGAGAAAATGACCAGCTCATGGGTGGCATTACAATGGTCATTGCTGGAGACTTTCGCCAGACCCTACCTGTCATTCCTCGAAGCACTCCAGCTGATGAACTGAATGCGTGCCTCAAGGCATCATACCTTTGGAGAAGTGTTCAGACACTCACCCTATCCACAAACATGAGAGTACATCTACAAGGAGATCAGGATGCTGGGCGGTTTGCAAACCTACTGTATTACAGATTGGGAATGGAACTTTCCCCGTTGATTCAGGACAAATAATCATTCCACAAGGATGTGGAAATGTTGTAAAGTCCGCAACTGAGCTCACTAACATGGTCTACCCAAACATTATCCACCACTACAAGGATCACAAGTGGCTGCGTGAACGCACAATTCTGGCACCAAAGAATGAAACAGTGGCTGAAATCAACATGACTACTCGGACAGCTTCCAGGCAGTGAGACCTCATTCAAATCTGTTGATACAGTAATCGACCATGACCAAGCAGTCCAGTACCCTGCAGAATTCCTTAATTCTTTGGAGCCCGCTGGAATGCCTCCTCACCACCTCTCTCTCAAGATTGGACCTATAATGCTCTTAAGAAATCTTGAACCACCATACTAATCTTTACAAAAGCACCGCAGCGGTCTGTAGTCAGGTCAGAGGGAAAACTGACCCAACCTTCTCACCTGGTTACAAATCTTCTTAATTACAAAATTGTCCAATTTGTACATACCGTTACTCAAATTCATGTTTACGCATTCAGTATGTTTAATGAGACTAGATTCTATGATGTTCCTACTGTCAATTGAATTACAAGGTAATATTGAGGAGGCATTATCCCAGTCAATGCAATGTTTATTATCCCTCAAAAGAACGAACAGAGCATTGGATTCCTGGCCTGTCCTAACACTGTATTTATGTTGTTTAAGTCTAGTTACAAGATCTTTACCTGTTTGGCCCAAGTAAAACCTAAACTGTATATATATATATATATATATATATATATATATATATATATATATATATATATATATATATATATATATATATATATATATATATATATATATATATATATATATATATATACACACAC